AATAGCTAATAAATAGTTGCGAATTTAGACATAAAACTTGTTAATATTAAAACCAAAGTTGTGAATGGAGACTTGCGAATTTTATACTACCAAACTCTCCTTACTGATTTTTTTTCCTTAATTCTTTTATTAGTTTAGTTTACCTATGTTTTATATTCAAAAAGAACTTTTGAAAATTCAAAAATGTAAAAATTGTTTGGTTTCTTTGAATTATTTGCAAAATCAATTTAAAAAGCACATTTAAAAAATTCCAAAAGCACATTCCTTAAACTTAATTTTGGATAGTTTTAGTTTACATGCTTTTTTCATGAACAAATTTTTGATTAAAAACTAAACACACTTAATTTCTCACTTTTTTATTGCACTAGTGAAATGAGTCAACTAGCAAACTTACAAGAATTAATAGGTCGAATAGATTAAACTTATTGTAAAATAATTTAATTTTTAAATTTTAAAATTATAAAAAGTTGTATCTTTATAATCGCTTGATTATTTTGGTTATATAATTACCTTTTTTTTATCAAAGGTCAAAACTATAAATTATATCATATTTTTATATTATTCTATACATTTTTAATGTTGTAATTTTTTTCTATACATTTTTATCTTTATAATCACTTGATTATTCTATACTTTTTTTTATCAAAGGTCATAACTATAATTTATATATATATATATATATATATAATTACAATTCATTTGACTACAATCTAACTATGATCAAATTGATCAATTATAAACTAATTTCATTCCTTAAATGAAGAAGTCATTACACATATCAACAAATATTCAAACAGTGGCTACCCTTTATATACTAAACAGTCATTGACAAATATTAACATCCCTCTTTATATACTAAAGTGGCTACCCCTTTTCTTTCTTGTCTTCTCTTCATCAAGTAATTTCAACGCCACCTTTGCTTTTTTTTTTTGGATGATTAATTAGCCACTACAAAAGCTCAATCCTGAAGTTAGTAGCTTCTTCCTATACCAAAGAAAGAATAACACACAAGTAGAAAGAATAATATCAAACAAAGAATAACACACAAGTAGAAAGAATAATATCAAATCAAGAATAGCCCTAAAGTAGAAATAACAATATCAAAGAAAATGCAACTGTACATCAGTGTATCCTGCAACACTATGGGATCCCATATGTTCAACCAAATCATGACAAGAACAACACAATCTTTCTTGCAAACATTTAGCATACAAAAAATAATCACAATTGGTCAAAGCAAACAAAGGGGGGTTGTGACGCCATGTGCCACAGCGCAAATGCACAAATTTTGACAGTAAGTTTTGCTGTCAATTTGACAGCTTTATAGCCAACTTCCGATGCACCCCAAATCTCCATCCAACGTCTGAATGACATGAACTAGGAGTCTATGGAAAACTCTTTCCAGACTCTAACTAATGGCATTGGTCTCCAGCTCAAATTATTTTTAAAATAAAAATTGGACACCCTTTTCAAAACTTTCACTATTATAACCAATTTCACAATTTCAAATGTTCAGAACATATATGAAGGACCATAAGTCACCAACAACCATATGACCACATACCTATCATCAAAACCAACTTGTGCAATACACCATAACATAAGGAATATTTTCAGATCAAATTTTCACTACTTAACCCCTTAACTTAAAATCGTAGAAAGGGGGGTTTACCATAATTTTTATCAAGATTTCCCAAATCATCACATAATATTCATTACTCTCACTTGTATTAATATTTTGGCCCTATCCTCATAGCACATAATAATCAAATATCTCATTAGGGCCCAAAATACCATTTCAATTTACATTTCACTTAATGCAAGTAAGTAACAAAAAAGAGTAATCCTAGTTGGCAATCGAAATTGTCATACACATAAATTACCCAAAATAAAGAGGCCTATTACAAATGAATCGTGATCCTAAGCCTCGGGTTGTTTTCCCCTGTCTTCACTTCTTGAGCTATTCCCTGAAATATTGAAGATAACGAGGTGAGTACAACTACTTAATAACCAAAGTCTAACTAGCCCATACTAATGCATATCAATTAGTTTAAATGCAAGTGGCGGTAAATATTAATACTTTAACCTATAAGCAACATTTGAAATAAGAATTCACAACTTAGCTCACATAATGGCATTCTCTTGGAAAAACAATGCTTTTAGCATTTTTCATATAAATAAAATTGCTCACACAATTTATTGATGAGCTTAATGGCAAAAATTATTACTCAACTCAAAGATATCCACATTATGGACTTAATATAGACAACAAGTGCCTTTTCTCACTATATGCATGATCACACTTCCCTTATATCCTTCTTATTCCTCTGACATGAAACCATAGACTATAACTCAATGGGATAGTCTATATTCCTTGACTTCCCTAGCCTAAACACTTGTGAGGGGATTACCTGGTCGAGACGTATCCAACTCACTTATGAATCACGGTTTTCCCTATTTCTCACACCATGAGGTGTCATATATCCTAGACTAGCTTCCTCATTGAACCGGTGGATAACTAGATAGGTTCGAGTCCCTTGTTAAACCAGTGGGACAATCCCTCATTGAACAAGTGGGACGATATAGATAGAATCAATCTAGGCAATCTATCACACAGATGGAGGCCTTACCACATGGATTTATTATCTACTCTGGTTTTTAGGCAAACTCCCACTTCTCTAGATCATGCAATAGACACTCATGCAATAATTCACACATATACAATTCATAGAACTTCACATTATCACCTTTAATTGAACTTCATCATTACACATTTCATGAAACTTTAAAACCAAACAAGTCGTTGAACTCCCAATTCACAATTATTGTACCTCATACTTTTAAAATCATTGAACTTCTCTATTTTCATTGTACCTCACACTTTTAAAATCAGTAAACTTCCCTATTTTCAAACATCATTGAACTCCTTGTAAATAAATATTCATTTTGCTTCTCAGTTTGTAGAAATCATTGCACTCCTAACGAACATTAATATGAAAATCCACCACTATTGTTCTCAAGGAAAATTTTGCATCATAAGGCATAAAATTCACAAATTTGATCTAATGGATTTCTTCACAAATTAAGCCATACTTGCATTTCTTTTATTTTTTACATTTCAAATGATAATCCATGAATCAATAAACTAATAGTCACACACAAGCATAAGATAGAATTTCCCTGGTTACCTTAAACCTTTGAGAGGTCAAAGGTTTCACCCCTCAACTATTCACTCCCGAAGCTTCTAAAAAGCTTGAACGGTGCCAATGGTAATTACACTACAAGCATTTACCATGCAAAACATCAATATTCATTTTGAGCTATTTTTCACTAGCATTTTCATCATTTATTAATACTCAAGTTTTACTCTAAGCTTATGTAGAAGTATCCATAAGATTTCTTAGCTTTCTATAACTCTCATTTATGATATTGAGCTCTTAAATGGCCATTAATGAAGCCACATTATTCCCAACCACTAAATTTATGGAAATTTCGGACACTTAATGTCCTCCAACCACCAATCATCATAAAACCATAAATATCAAGTTTAAATAACTCAATCTACCCCCATTAATTCTATTAAAGTCAATGGGTTCGGGCCCTTAACTTCTAGGGACCGAAAATCACTATTAGTAAGCAAACCCTAACCTCTACCATCAAAAAAATGGAAGAAGAGAGGAAGATTTAAGCAAAGAAGCTTACCTTGGATGTTTAAGAGCTCCAAATTACTCCCAATTGTCAGTTTCTTCAAGCCCTAGTTTAGCTTTTTTGCCACTCTCTCGTTCTCTTTTATTTCCTCCTCATTTTCACTTTAGATTTGCGACTTAATACTGCAAAATTCTAGCCATACGACAATGCACCGTGGCGCATGGCACAGAGAGCTTCTTCCAGGCTTGTTGTCATGCATGTGCCGTGGCGGACCAACCCCACGCCGCGTTGCGTGGCACAGAACCACTCCCTTCAGAAATTCTTCCTCTTCTATTCCTGGGTGACCCAATTCTCTTTCGAACTCACGTTTGGTACTGAAATCGAGATCAAACACGCTCATTAGGCCTCTCTGGCCACACACCTCAAAGATTCACTTTACTAATCTATTCAAGCTTAATTAATTTGGATTTAAAATTGAGGATATTACAATTGATCCCAAATAAATTAGCTAAGAACTAAAACTAGTGACAACATTCAAAGGCATTTGTTAACACTTGCGAGAAACAGATCCACAGACATCATCAACCTTGGCTATATGAGGTTGGGCAGATTTTGAAAGGCATTTGTGTAGTCTCGTTATTTCCTTTGTAATCCTCTTGTATTGATCCTTTTCTGATAACTTATTGATCCCATTTTTGTTCAAAAAAAAAAAACAGACCCATAAATCATATATAGCCACAAATCGAAGGTTCAGCCCTACAGTCTTATAATTACTGAAGTGAAGAAGATAAAAAAGGAAGAGTTGGAGGGAGCGAACCAGAGTCAAGTGAGACTGGGGAGAGAGGGAGAATGGCGACGATGACGGTGAACCCACAAACCCACGATGGCAGAACCATTGCTAGCAATACTGAGAAGCTCGAAATTGCTGGAGGTGAAGCAAGAACGACAATCGAGTTACAACGATGCTGTGATGGTGAGATAGAGGCACACACACTTGAGGCGACATGCGAGGGCAGACACACCGGAGATGACACATGTGGGCAGAACACAGACCAGAGACTGGAATGGGGAAATGACATTTGTTTCTTTAATTAGAACAAAGGACAAAATCATCACTTCTTAAATTCTCTAATAATAGGCCTAAGAAGAATTATGCCATTTTAAGAAACCTATTTATTAATTAACTAATTTAAATTAAATAGACTTTACTGTCATTGTCCCTTTAAATTAAGGTGTTTTAACTATATTTTTAATCATAGCAAGAATAAATTGGTCGCTTGGTGTCAAAGACCTTGGAACTTCACACGCAGGATGTGGGTTCGAATCTCTGATTCATATAGCACGAAATCATACTCTTGCTTCATCCAAGTAATGGAAATACAATTACCCTTAAAGGAAAAAAATAAAGCAGAGTCACAGGCGAGCACGCACAGACCTTGTCTTTCATTTTCTTGTTGCTTGAGTTTCGAACAATCCGGAGCAAGAAGAGTGTGAGAGAGCAGAAACCCTCACTTTCATCGTACAATATCCATCTTGTTACACCGTCCTCAACGTCATCGGCGTGGTGGAGCAAGCACGTCTGCCGGCCGCTGAGAGGTCCAGAACGAGATTCCTGCCTTTCCTCTGTTTCACGCTGCCAATCCTTCGTCCTTGCCAGTTGCTGTTAAGCTCGTTCTTCCATCACCGTCGCTGCTGGAGTCGCTGTCGTCTGCCGCTGCAAGGAGTTTCGTTCAGGTCACGGACTCTCCTTCGGTCTCTGCGTTGCTGTCGATCCGTGCCCTCCCTGTCTCTGCGTTGTAGCAGTGCTCTTGGGTGGCCATGAAAACTTGATCCTCTCCCTTCATTCCTCTTTGTTCCTTAGGTGAGTGAATCGCACCTCTCCTCTCTCTAGTTTGATTCTGTGCACATGTGTATTGGTGAATGAGGTTCATATTTTTCATTCCTCTCCTTTCTTGGCAACCGTTGGTCTGTGGAGGTAAAAAAAATAAAATTGAGTAACTGAGAATTGACTTTCGTTGGTATGTTAGTTTAATTATTGTTGGTTGCTGTTGATGAAGTTGGATGGGAGTTTGATATTTTCTTTGAGTCTAACACTGTGTGAAAATATAAATAGATATTTGGTTTGGGTGTTAATTATTTATGGAATTAACTTGAGAATTTTGTGAAGAATTTTGATTATGAATTTAGTGTGAGACAAATTGGATTATGGGGAATTACATGGTTGGTTATTATAAAGGATAATGTTATATTGAGACTTGATTTTGGTAATGTACCTAAGGTGGTTGGTAAAATGGGTGATAGAAGAACTCTGAAATTTATTGTGATTAAGAGTGGTGTTTGTAGATATATACAAATTTAGTTACATATGTATTTGAGAAGAGTTAGATAGAAGCAAAGTGTTGAATAGCAATATATATATATATATACATAATTAAGTGTAGTACAAACTATCCTTTCTAATTGATGCTTTCCCTGAACAATCCTTTAGGCACTATGAATAGAGATTAATGATTTTAAATTACAGAAATATTCTTCTTTTCTTATAAGCCCCGGAGACATTTTCCTCTCCCTTGACCTTTTTCCGGTCCACATAATGTTTGCTCTTGCTTTCAGACTAATCCTCATTGTCTTCTGTATCAGACTTTGTTCTTCCCCTTAAAGTTAAAAGCACCAGAGCAAAAGCATAATTTTAGAGATAACAATAGACAGAAAGAACACTATGGACCTTAATTTGATTGTTTAACTAAACAAGGAGAAGATATTACCCTTCTATACCTAGATAAAGGATTCATTTCAAGGCAAGATTCATGCACATGGCTTATGACAGTGATCCTTTGTATGCTGTGTTATAGGCATGTTTATGAGGTCTAAAACTAGCTTGGGATCGTCATTATCGAAAACTCAACCTTGAGTCTGACTCCTTTAAGGCTTTTGAGACTATTAATGGTGAAATTTCTCCCACACACCCAAATTCGAATGTTATTAATGAGATTAAAGCTTTGCTGGCTCAAAATTGGGTGATGATTGTTTAGCAAATATTGAGAGACGCTAATGAGATTTCTGATTTTTTTTCTAACAAGGCGCTTGCTTGTTTTGCAGGTTTTCACCCTCTACTTATTCCTCCCCTTGAGTTAGTTTTAGTCTTGCAACAAGATTTTAATACTGTTAGTGCAGGATTTTATTTTCCCTTGTTATGAAAGAAAAGAGAGAATATTTAAACAACTATTACTGACTTTCAAATGGTTTCACATGATAATTCTCCATTACAATTGACTAGTCCAAGTTCCCATCTAACTTTTTGGTTTACAATGCTTGAATATGGAGAACAAAATTTAAGAATTTATAGTGATCATCCAGGTACATCGAGGCTCATAAAACTAGCTCAATAGTCAATAACTTAAACACATACACATGCAACCTTAACAGCAACGCAATAAGTAACTGAGAGACAATTTATCATGAATTCAGGAGAGATAAGGTCATAACTGAGGGAATGAGCAAGCAAATGGAACAAGAAAGAAACTTTTTCCTGTTAAGAGAATGAGCAAGAAAATGGAACAAGATTAACAAGAACAAACACGAGAAAAATAAAAGGTCCAAGTTTCCTATAGGTAGGTTAAAAAAAAAAAAACAGTTGTGGACAGAAGATACGAAGGAATCCTAATGGTAGCCAACAAAGAGTAGAGCACCTTGGGGGGGGGGAATGAGAAAAAGGGGAAAAAAAAGATTAGGCTATGCCTAACATTCTTATTAGACTTGAGAAAATTCAATGAATACTTCAATTTTTCCCCAAAACCAATATAAACTCTATTTTATAAATCATGGTTTTGGGTTTATAATTAATTTTATCATGTATAGAGATATTCTAAGAAAACTATAGTTTTGAATTTATAATTAATTTTGACATACATAATGTATGTCTAAAGAATTTTTTTAATACAAGGTCGTGGAAAAATCGTGCAGAAAGATAAAAAATCAGATCATGTTAGATTCTAAGAAGATCTTGCATCTTGAAGGAGGATGATAAAAAATTAGAAGATTTAATTTGTCTTCAAATGCTTGGTATGTTAGCATATGGGTGCATATGTTACTTCTCCAAACATATGATTGAAAGTTTAGTCTGTCATGATAAAATTTCTAATTTTCTTAATAGATTTGGATAGAGGATGACTTTTGAAGAAATTATAATGAATGAATGGAAGGACTTAGAATGACACTAATTCTTGTCTTCTTAAGGAAACCATGATTTTTAAGTTGATAATTAATTGAGTGTAATAGAGAAAGAGATATTTGGATATTTTTTCACATTATTGTGGCGTTGAAGTTTAAAATTAATTATCTTTATTATCTGCACTGTGTCCTAGTCCTCCTCCCTTCTGTAGCGGCTGCACTTTGAGGAGTGCAACCTCCGTCTCCGATCTATGACTGCCGTCTCCAATTTCGGACCTCATGCTTGTTAAACTCCGACATCCTCCTCCTCAATTCGCAACCTGCCCTTAACGCCTATCTGCTCCTCGATCTGTCTGCTGGGAAGACTCTTGCTGTGTCAAAGAGGCGTTTCTCTGCCGTCTTCTACGTTCACGTCCTTCTGCTGTGACATCCTCTCCACCGTCTGCTTTCAGCCATTTCATCCTCTTTGATCTGTTGGTTCTCTTCTTTGGGAGTCCAAGTCCAACATTATTGTCTCAGGCATTCTAAGCCTCCTGCAAGGTATGATATCCTCCAACCATTTTTTTTGTTAGAGCTGGAAATGGAAATGCATTGTTTGTTCTGGTGGTCCTCTGTTTTGGGTGATTATATATATATATTGAAAAAGAAGGATATGCATTTTGATGTGGCCAGTTATATTTTCCCCTCTTTATGTTTCTCTAGTATTGTCTGTTTGTAGCATGTGAATGACTGGTTTTGATCAGCTGATATTTGTTTTGGGTAAAATGCTGATATATATATATATATATTTTTGTGATCTGCCCCATCTTTCTTTCAAGCGTTCTTTAGTAGAGTTTGAAATTTATTACATTGCTATATGCAAGTATCTGGGAAAGGTCCCGTGGTATGTCATTGTGCTATTCAGTTATTTATATAGCATCTGCTTACATATATTATGATCAAGATGTTATCTTTCAATTCTTTTTGTTCTAAATAAAAAGCTTTTTAAATTTCCTGCTTTAGCAGTTTGCTGTCTTGTGCAGCTGAGTGTACATGTATTATAAATATTTGTCACTTAAGTCTTAAATGCACAGACTTCGCACCAGAGTGTGGACCTAGTTTTGTTTTCCCCTATGAAATGACATAAAAATTTGGTTATTTTTGTGAGTCATCAGGCTGAGATTGCTTTTAAGTTATAGCTATACTGATATGAATGATGACTCACCAGTGACAGATATAACAAGTTAAACTAGATTCGATGGACTGAGATGCCATAGTTCGCTTCCAACACATTGAACATTGATCAAATTTTCATGCTTCCCGTTCTGATTCTCAGAAATAATGGCGTTCATCAGAAACTCTTTTGTACCTGCAAATCCACTTCTATTTTATGCAGACAAGACTACCCATCATCTAGTTATACTACATCCTCCTCTTCGGCTCAACCTACATCTCAACCAGCTTCTCAATCAATTGTGAAAATGGTATGCTCATTAGTGTGTGATTCTTACTATCAGCAAGCGCACATGAGGGGGTCACATCCAAGGCTTCATCTTAATGTGGATGCTGATTCTTTGACTCATGAGCAAGCCGTTACGGTGGTTGCTTCCCTTGCAAGTGAAGCTGGATCAATGATAGCAATGAGTTTCTTGAATTGGGCAATTGGGTTTCCTAAATTTCGGCATTTTATGAGGCTCTATATAGTTTGTTCAATGTCATTTATTGGGAATAGAAATTTCGAGAAAGCCCATGAAGTGTTGAGGTCTATGGTGAAAATTTTTGCTGAGATTGGGAAGTTGAAGGAGGCTGTAGATATGGTGATTGAAATGCATAATCAAGGTCTGGTTCCTAGCACTCAAACATTGAATTGGACTGTGAAGGTTACTAGTGATCTGGGGTTGGTTGAATATGCAGAACAATTGCTCGAAGAAATGTGTGTGAGAGGGGTTTGCCTAGATTCAACTAGCTATAAGTTGATGGTTGTTGCATATTGTAAAATAGGTAATATTTTGGAAGCTGATAGGTGGTTAAGTGCCATGCTTGAGAAGGGCTTTGTAATTGATAATACCACATTTACATTGATAATAAGAACCTTCTGTGAAAAGGGTTTAACAAATAGAGCAACTTGGTATTTTCATAAACTAAGTGTTATGGGTTTGAAGCCAAATTTGATTAATTTCACGTCTATGATAGAAGGTTTATGTAAAAAGGGAAGTGTGAAGCAGGCATTTGAAATGTTGGAGGAGATGGTCCGTAAAGGTTGGAAACCCAATGCGTATACACATACAGCATTGATTGATGGTCTTTGCAAGAAAGGATGGACTGAAAAAGCATTCAGACTTTTCCTTAAGCTTGTTAGGAGTGAAAATCACAAGCCAAATGTCCTTACTTATACGGCAATGATAAGTGGATATTGCAGAGATGGCAAATTGAACCGGGCAGAAATGCTGCTTCACAGAATGAAGGAACAGGGAATAGTCCCAAACACCAACACATACACAACACTTATTGACGGACACTGCAAAGAAGGTAATTTTGATAGAGCATATGAATTCATGAACATGATGAGCAATGAAGGTTTTATCCCCAACATTTGTACATATAATGCCATTGTTGATGGCCTTTGCAAAAAGGGAAGGGTGCAAGAGGCTTACAAATTGCTCAAAAATGGTTTGCATCATGGATTGAAAGCTGATAAAGTCACCTATACTATTCTCATAACTCAACATTGCAAACAGGCAGATATTAATCAGGCTTTGGTGTTGTTCAATAAGATGGTGAAGAGTGGCATTCAAGCTGATATTTATTCATACACCACTTTAATTTCATCCTTTTGTAGGAAAAAGAGAATGAGAGAAAGTGAGATGTTTTTCAACGAAGCTGTAAGAAGTGGATTAGTTCCATCAAAGGAAACTTATACGTCCATGATATGTGGGTATTGTCGAGAAGGAAATTTGAGTTTGGCTATGAAGTTTTTATATAGGATGAGTGACCATGGTTGTGCTCCAGATAGTATCACTTATAGTGCTCTTATAAGTGGTCTTTGTAAAGATTCAAAGTTGGATGAAGCTCATGTGTTGTATGACACCATGATAGAAAAGGGGCTTATCCCATGTGAAGTTACTCGGATTACTTTGGCCTATGAGTATTGCAAAATAGATGATTGTGGCTCTGCTATGGTGCTCCTGGAAAGGCTGGAAAGAAAACTCTGGATTCGAACTGCTAATACATTGATCAGGAAACTAAGTAGCGAGAGAAAAGTAGGCATGGCAGCTTTGTTCTTTCATAAGTTACTAGACATGGATAACCATGTCGATAGAGTAACATTAGCAGCCTTTATGACAGCATGCTATGAAAACAATAAATATGCTCTTGTTTCTGACTTGACTGCAAGGTTATATAAGGAAAAATCACTCCGCAGTCCAAGTCAATAAGAAAATTTGAAATACAAATTCTTTTATCTGATCATCCATAGAATGTTGCATTTTGTTGCAAAATTTCTTGTAATCATAATTCCACTCGATCAAGATTTTGTGGCTTCTTGTGTTGATTTCTGCATTAGAATATCCTGCGAATTTGATCAATTCATGAGCTATGAAGAGCAACAGTGGCATGCCACTCCCCCTCTAGGAATAATGAGAATTCCTTAGATAAAAAATATCATATTAAATTCTAGGAATTTTTGCATTTTTCTCTGATTCATGTTTCCTTTGTATTTTCTCCTTTAGATTTATCCACCACTTTATTTATTCTTCAATTGGATGGCAAATACACTATCAAAGAATAAGATTGTCCATGATTTTGATATTTCACTACTTTGTTTGGCGCCAGTCTGTGCAGCTTATGAATGTAAGTAGCATTGTCTCTAATTGAAATAAAGATGTTCAGAAATGTATTTTATGTTTTTCTTTTTTCCCCCCTGTGTACAAGCCTGGTAATATATGTTTAGACCTTACATCCTGCATGTCCCAATTAAGTTTTCTTGCCCGTGCACAATAAATTCTATTTTGGGCTTGTTTTATTGGAACAGATTTGCCCTTTAAGCCAAAAATTGTCACCGTACGATGTTCATGTTATACTGAGGACCTCTGAAGGAATGCACTGCTTGGTAGGACTACTGACCCAGTTATTACTATTTTCATACTTATTTTTTATTTTCCTTAAAGATGGCAAGCTGAGGCTTGAAAGACAAATAAAATCACAACAAATTGACTACTAGAGCATAAGCTCCTGTCCCTATTGAAGTACTTATTTTTTATGTTTGTCATATATAGGGAAGTTTCTGATGAGTTTTTTTCTTTCTTTTTTTTTCCTTGTACTTGGTTAGAGACATATATCTTGTAATGGATACTAATGCTGAGTTTGTTGAAGACTAGTGTCAATAAGCAGTAGATTCTGAGTTGGTTTCAGCGTGAAATGTTAGGTATAAGCAAACTGAAGTTTCTTTCTTTCCATTCAAATTTTCTTCCTCCTCTCTTATTCCATGAAGCTCAATTTCTCTTCAGTTCAATCTGTATATATAATAAAACAAGATTACTATAAGCTGCTGAGAAAATGGCTCATATATGGCTCCTCACCCATATCACTGTTCAATTGAACAGTGTCGGCTTCCTCTACCTCTTCAGCTTACATTGGGCTTTGTGCTGTTTTATCTTAATAAAAAATTATCTGTTCTTTCATCTTTTAAATTTTAAAACTCCCTCCTTTAGGGGGAAAATGCTGATCACCTTGAGCGTCGTGAATGTCAATTCATATGACCTCCCCTGCTCTACTCACAGTTCAGAGGAACCCTTAGCCTCCCTCCTCTACCCGATATACTCTCTACACAACCTGAGCTTCTCACCATCATCCTTCTTCTCCTTAGTTTTCACTCCTACTGAGCTCTCATTGGTGTCAATGCTTAGCCACCTTCATGCAACCCATTTACTACTCTACTTCATCACCCCTATTTAGATCTGACTACAGGTTTTGGACTGGATATGAGCTTCTACTTGGAGTGTTGTCAGATTCGATCATATCGCTCTTCAATCTTTTCCTCACTGTCCTTCACATACTCTATTTAGTGCCCTTCGTTCTTCAGGCCAGATGACCTACTTTCAGCGAGTAAAGGTGCTTCTAGTGACTCCAGATCTACACTAAGAAGGAAATGAGGGTTTGATGAATCGAGTCACCATGGATGCTGATTGGGATTAATAATTCATCCAAGGGACTGATTAGTCTTTTGGGGATTTATTTTGGATTTCTCTTTGAATAATGGGTAATGCAAATCAAATCCTTCCCAAGTTCGTTCTTGTGCAGAAATTTGATGTTCTACCAATGCTTCAAACTTTAACGAGTTTAATTTGGTTTCAGAGTTCCCTTGCTGCCTGACGTGACAGGGTTTGAAAACGTTGGGTGATTTCTTGACTTGGATTCTTATGTATGTATATATATACATATTTTTTCTGTTGATGATTCTTCTTATATGTTGTATTGTCACTTTTTCTCAGGTCATTTGCTAGCTTTTTTAATGACAATTAATTATAATCAGTTATTTCTGAAACAAGTAGACACATGTTAAGAGGATGGTTTCTAAATGAGATAAAGCATATTTTAGTGCATCTTTCTAATTTTTGTCATCTTTTCATCTCTGTCTCAAGATAGGTTGAATGAATTGAATCATGGAGTACCGAGACAAAGAGCAGCATCTTTGTGGCTTTAATTTCTGCTTTTAGTTCATCATCGGGTTCTAATGCTGTTGCTCCTAAACGTTCCACAACAACTCAAGGATCACAAAGAGCAGCTGCAGTAGCTGCTCTTTTATCAGTTCTGACTACTTAAAGGAAGTTCTCTAGCAGGAAACACCACCCTTGGTGAGGAAATAGATCTCTAATTATATTGAGAGACATGTTGCAATTATGCGTATATTGTGCTCATGCTTCTGTCTTATTATTATTTTTTGCATAAAATGTTGTTTGTCTGATCGTCTCCTCAACAGTTTGTTATTTTACTTTTTCTTTGGAAAAACCAGTGGCCTTAAAATCTCATGCCTTGTGAGTTGTAATTTTTTACTGATCCCGTGCAAATGTGTTTTCTGCTGTTAGAAAGGTCTGCATTCTTAACCATAAAGGGCAATGGCCTTTTTTATGGCTATTTTTCTCTTTATACATATCAAAGCTATAATTTTATTCTGCTTCTTTTGTTTGGGCAAGTTGTTTGGCATTCTTCTTGAATTACAATATTTTTTTAAGACAACTTTAAAATCAGCCCTGACCCAGACAATTTGTGATAATCCAAAGGTTTGTTTCTAATTTAAATGCTTTTCCTCCCCTGCTTGATGATAACTTCTTCTAGGTTGTCATCAATGATGCTCAAGGCCTTTTTTTCTTGAATGTTTGGTGATATTGACAACTGTATAGCTTTTTTATTAGAAGGATTATTTGTATATTACATGGTATAATTGGCAAAAGAAAAAGGATCTTTGAAAATCTTATATATATATATATATATATTGCTTTCATGCAGACTCTTATTTCTCCTTTCATTTTGACATTTTTTTAATCCCAGACTTTCTCCAACTACTGTTCTCTAATATGTCTGCTACCTTCTATGAAAATGATGTCCTTCCTGGAGCAGAATATTAAAGTTTTTTTTTTTTCCCAGATGTCATATTAGTAGGAACCTGATACTTCAGTTCTGTTTTAGAATTAATGGCTTGCTTACATGCTTTTCCATTCTGGTGTACTAAGCTTTAGACCCTTGTGATTCTAGCTGGTTTGATTTCCTATCTGAATTAAAAAAATTTCCTGCTACCTATAAAGTACTCAATTGTTACCAACAAAAAGGCATGTAAAGGAGTTTCATAAGTTGAGTAAACAAACCATTGGCGTTTTCAAATGTAACTTGAGTAAATAAGCTGAGTAAATTTAAATAGTATCATATGTGTTATTTCAGCTACATATCCAAAGCATATTTATTTCGAAGACAAGTCAATGTGATTGTCCTTTCGAGCTAATTTATGGTGCTTAATCATCTTTTTTGAATAGGGGATAATAAAGCTTATCAATGTTAGATGGAGAGGCAGCACATTACACACTTGCTGATACTGATAGAGAGAATTATAAAATAAAAGGATGGAGAGAGGGAGAGAGGAGGGAACAATAGCTAAGACAGATTTAGATTTTGCACAAATATAAAAAGCCATGTGAATGAAAGGATGAGATGGTCCTTAAACCACCTTATGAGGAGGTTCACGAAACAGCTTGATTCATGAGAATTAAGAATACTAGGGGTAATTAGGGATATAAAGTTAGTTTGGGTATTTTGTCATATTCTCTGTAAATAGGTCTCCAGGTTGTAATGGGTGAATGGGTGATTGTGAATGGAATTGTTATCTCTCTCTCTCTCTCTCTCTCCCTCTCTCCCTCCCTCCCTCCCTCCCTTGTACCTCTAACACAGCTGAAAGTATTTTTTTTCCACTTATTTTAGTTATAATTATTATAATTTATAGTATTTATTTATGTAATTCTTTATTCTCAATTGAATATTTTTTGGAGTGATTTTATTGATTAAATTGATGGAGTTAGCATAATTCAAGTATGTTTAATAATGGTTGTATTCAATGCTTCCCATGGGTGGTTAAAAAAAAAAAAATCAATGCTTCCCGTGTGATTATGGCAGAGTTAGTGCTACATAAATAACTTAGCCCTTGACAAGAGGTATTGATAGTTAATCTTTTGACAACATATTAATTCGCACACCCTGTCTTTGAATCCACTCGCCCTTGACAAGAGGAATTGATAGAAGTCATTGTTTGTAAAGCTTTTCTATTCTGTTGTAATGGCAGTCCAGTTTCGCTACAAATTTGACATATGTATTTACTTAATCTTTATTTTTATCCTTGATATCAACCAGTAGTACAACATATTTTGTTGATTGATTACTATAATACACCTAATACTTAATCTATGAGAGTTTGATTAACTGTCATTATTTTTCACAATCTTAGCAAATATATAATTGTTTGGACATGGATTTTAAAACATTTATAATGTTGCACGACGGAGATAAAGATATCACAGTAAGAATTTGAAAACTAAGATTGATTAAAAATGTGGGGTTGGATCGTTTTGTATTGCTCCTCTCAAGTAATTGAAAAAAATGCAGCGTGCTTTGTAATTTATGCTCCTTTGTATTGCCTCATTACTCGTTATTTTTTTTTTATCTAAATGCAACATAAAAATGATAATGTGAATAGTTGATAGAATGTAAGATTGCAAGCATGTTGCAAAATTTTGGGAATAATATGTCCTAAAGATTAATGCACCTTATGTTTTAGTCCACATTCATCTACCAATAAAGGTAAACACTTAAAATAAATAATTGAAATTAAAATTCTTTATATTTAACTATTTTTGTTATTCATTTAGATGCATCATTTTCTTTATTAATAAGCTTAATTGATTTAGTGCTTGATACTTTATTCTCTCCACTAATTAAAATGGCATATCAAACAAATATGGATAGAATTAGAGCTAAAAATATGGGTTAACTCACAACAAGTTGTGGGTTTGATTGGGCAAGCTGGCATGGCTTGCATTCTGTGTGGGTTGGATTTGTTAACCTGTCGTGGGTTGGTGGGTTAACAGAACAATCTACAAGTAAAAAGATATTTTTTATATAATTTTTTAAAATTATAAATTTATCTCTTTTTATTACTTTTTCACAGTAAAAAAATTATATATTCCCTCAAAAAATTAATTATCTAAATAATAATAAAAATCTTTCTCATTAAGACATACTTATAGCACCACTTAAATATAAACTAATTTATTTATTTTTTTGATCTTTTTCGTTCTTTAATCTTTTACATGATTGATTAGTATTACATCTATATGAATTAATAGAAATGTTTTGTTTATCCTTTTTTTTTCTTCATCTTGTTTTGGCATTTTTGATATAAAATTGATGCCCCAATTTAAAATATCAATTCTTTTTTTAAAAGAAAATAATTATGATTTAAACTTTGACTATTATATTATTATTTATAATACATTCAGTTCATATCAGATAAACGTTTTAATATCCTTGTATTTATTTATTTTTCTTTTATGTTCAAATTAAGATGATAATATAATATATGGTTAGCATTTCATAAATATGTTTAATTTTTTAAATAAAAAGAGTAGCTAAACTTTTTTTATTTGGTAGCTTGGGTAGTACTATTTTACAAACAAAATAATTTAAATAAGCTGTTATATGAATGAAGCGTAGTGTAATAAAATATTTTATTCAATCTTGTCTTGATCAAATTCATATTATATTATATCTATACTTAAATATATCAATAGTGTGTTTTTATTGTTTTTTGCCTTAATTTAAACTTGAATTTAAACTTGTATTAAGTATTTAGATCACAATTTTATGTATCATTGATTTGAATACTTTATTTTATAACTCAATTTTATTTATTTATTTTTTATCTATTTTTTTAAAAAATATAAGCGAGCCAACCCTCTAACTCGTGGGCTATGCGAGGCGGGCGAAAACTGCCCTGCATATAATTAAATTCATTTTCTTTTTTGTGTGATAGGAATTCATTTTCTTTAATCCAACCTATAACTTTTTTGTGGGTTGGTGAGCTGAGCCCGTGGACCCAATCCATATGTTAAGGTGAAAAAGAACTCATAAGTTGAGCTCTAAATAGAATCACTCCCAAGTAGAACTCATCATTATATTGCAATTAGTAACATTAATATTGATATGTCAAGGTGAAAAAGAGATAAATTTGCATGAGGTTAATTGTTTTTTTTTAAGTAATTTTACTGTTTGCAATAAAATTTATTTTTCCTTCATTTTATTATAATCAAGGATAAACTTTTAAATCAACGATCATAGAAAACTTATTTTAATTAATGATTTTATATTTATTTATTTAATTACAATGTAAGTCTACTTTGTTGTGCATTGTATGGGGGAGTAAATTGTAAAACTTGTATTAATAAAGAAAAATATGTTATACAGATGCAGACATAATCACCTCTAAAAGAAGAGATTTATCTTTACATTCGAATTAGTGAAATTCAAATTCATATTTTTAGATAAAAACTAAATTTGCATAAGGTTCATTAATTTTGGAATATTGTTTGATTTTTTTCATTTTAATATAGTTAGTGAAAAAAACTTCTTATCACTAATAAGAAATTCATGGATTTTGTTGTTTTGCCTTTTTATTGTTTTATCTTTTAATTTTGTACGAACAAAACTAACAAAATGAATCATTTTAAAAAACATTTGTTGGAGAGGTTTTTTTTTTTTAGTTGTTGTAAAAAATGGATGATTTTAAAAATATTTGTATGATATAATTCTTTTTAAAAAAATTAATGCTTCCCGTGCGTGCTAGTTTGTATCCAAAAGGCCACTCACACCTTGGTAATTCATCCATCTTGGTGGCGTGTTCCCTTGATGTGCCACAAATCCTGTAATATGTTTAACACTAACCCAATCACCCGCAGGAGGCTTCATTGCGTTGCCATGCTCGCCGGAAAATGCTGTGCCATTGAAGTCACTAACACTCTGCTCTGGTGAAGAAGTATCACAGCTAGGGTTAAAAGTAGGGTTATTGCACGTGAAGAAAACGTTCATGAGAGTCAGAGGAAGGATCATCTTCAAGAAGGTATTGCTGAACTGAATCTAAAGGAGAAAGATTAGGGGTCATATTTTGAGGCAAAGGGCAAGAAGAGGCTTTTACTTTTTCATTCTTCCTACCTTGCCCGTAGCTTTTTTTCCCAAATTTCGATGTTTATCATTGAATTGAAGCATTAGGTAGAAGCAAACTGAAGTTTTTGTTTTTCCATTCAAATTTTCTTCTGCCTCCTCTTCCACGAAGCTCAGTTTCTCTTCAATTCAATTTGTATCCAAAGACAGTGCCTTTTGTCTTTGCCTCATACGGTGTTCGTATTTCAAAATGTTGACGGCTGGTGACCCAAACTTGGGTTGGTAGGAAACCTCTCAGACGCATTGGGGCCATGTCTGACACTCTTTCTATTGCCTCCGATCTCGGTTTCTCCCCCTTTCTAGGTATGTTTTCTACCTCTTCTTTCTCAAGTTACACTGATTTCAACAAATTTGCTTTTCTACTTCAGAATGGTTTTGATTTTCCTTCTTATGGAATTTTTTTCTATTAATCTTATGGCATTTTTTTACTTCCCATAATTAGGCATACTTCCAAATGACCAGTGACAATTGAAGATGATTTGAACAAAATTAATTGGAGGTATCGAACCTGGGATTTGTGATGGAGCTGATATTGTTTGAATAGTGTACATGATAATGTCTTTGTTCGTAACATACGTGTTAGTGTTTAGGTTGATTCTGCATCTCTTTCTATTTCGTTGAACTAGACTTTGTACCCAAAAAATAAAACAGAAATTTAAGGAGTAGAATCACCATATACACTCAACCTGTGTCTATAGGTATATACCCTAGATATGGGATCAGTTTCTTGGGGAGAAGGAGTGAAGGATTGTGGCAACTATTCAATCTCTTATGGAGCTCTACACTTAAGCTTCATGGGATAAGTAGTAGGTTAATTTTCTTTAAAAATGATTGTTGAGGAAGATTTGACACGGACGTAAGTAAAATAGTCTGGATTGGCCTTAGGAGGCGTCAGTTTTGCAAGGAGATGCTAGTTACAAATAAGTGAATTTATTCTGACAAAAATTTTCCATGTTCCTAATGGAGAGATGGGGAAATGTGTGAAATGTAATTGACTAAAATGATAATGCTCCATTATAACTTTAAGCATGAAGGGTGACTTGGGGGGAGCCATCTTATGATGAAAATCCACTTTCTTGAATCGATTCAGTTATTGTTATTTTCTCTTTTCTTTTTAATTTAGCTATTTTTTTTTTTTTTGGGGTTCAGCTTGGGTGCTCATCAGAATGATGAGATTTGGACTGTCCAAATTTAAAGATTTTATTTTATATTTATTAAAATGAAAAATTATAAAACTTTTTTATAAATATGCTTGATCACCAATATAAACAGTTTAGTTTTAATTTGAAGGGTCTAAATTTAATATTAAATTTTTTTATAATTTTTATAAATTGACTTTTTAAATATACTCTAAACAATCTTGATTTAATATTAAATATTTATTAAAATGAAAAATTATAAAAATTTTATAAATTTGCTTGATCACCAATTTAGACAGTCTAGATTTCACTTGATGGGTTCAAATTCAATATTAGAAGTTTTTATAATTTTTATATATTGACCATTCAAATGAAATTTGGATAGTTTAGATTTAATGTTAAATTTTTTTATAATTTTTATAATCTTTTATTTTAGTAAATATAATATCAAAAATAAAGATAATCTCCTAACTGACACTTTCTAAAAAATACTTTTTTAAACAAAATTACAAGTTAAAAAATTTAAACCTGAAATGTTTAGAGTTAATTTGCATAGTCAATTTATAAAAATTGTAAAAGTTTTAATATTAAATTTGGACCCTCCAAATTAAATCTAGACTATCAAATTTTTATTTTATTTTAATAAATATCAAATAAAAATAAAAAATTTAAATTTAAAATCTAGACGGTTCAGCTTGAGTGATCATACCCATCAAGATTTGAATGCTGTGGTGATATGGTTATTTAGAAGTTCACTACACTCCCCAACCATTCCATTATTCTTGTCATTGGCTCAATTTTGAGTTTCATTTTTAAGCCTGAAGCTTTGCTCAATTGGCAATCGGTTGGCATAGAAAAAACCAGGTCATTTCTTCTGTAAAAGAAGTCAAATTAAGTGCTTGGGTGCATTTGGGAGTTGGGAGGAGAAGGGAAGGAAAGGAATCCAAAGAAAAATGGAGGTTAGAGAACGGAGAGGAAGGGACAGTTAACTCTTGCTTGGGAAGACTTTCTTCTCCAAAATCCCTCAGCTTGGGGGAGCTTTTGACTTTAAAAGAGGGAGGGCCATGGTGCATTTTGGGTGTTTAGTTGGAAATCCTCCACTCTCCTTCCTTTCTTTTAAAAAACTACCATATGAGAGAGGTTTCAATGAGATCTCTTCACCTACACTGTCTCCCATCCAAGAATACTACAAGTGGTTAAGTGAATTATCAAGCATGGCTACTATATATGCGTGACACATCCTGCATGAAAGATCAGTGCAAGAATCAAACTAGTTTGATCTGTTAGCTCAAAAATTCAGTGATGCCATGCTGTAGAGAAAACCAGCTTGAAACCTCTAATCACCTTGGGAAATTCCCCAATATATGACTAACATGTTTATATTTTGATTAGACTTGCCCTATAAATGATCCTTAGTTTCTCGGGTGCTGCCATTGTTTAATTGTTGTTTTGGACCATCTAATCTTTACCATGCTGCTTGCAATCCTGTTTTCTTCACCAATTTGGGGCATGTAATTGGCATTTGAATCTTCAGAATGTTATCTAAAACCAAATGATGTGAAAAGAAAAACAAGTCCACTAAGACAAGCTAGGAATGTGATCATGTAATCTAGTAACATTCACATTACATTATATGGATCACATAGTGATACTAACACTTTTGAAGCCATGTGACTTTGATGTTGTTGATAATTTGATGACAACTGCTTGCATATTTATGTATTATTTGTGTTATGCATGCCACTGACTATCTAAACTGTTGTAGTCATGATAGATAATCTTACAAAAGCTCATGGTTATGGCTTAGAAGCATCTATTATTTGGCAATGTGTGGAGTGGATGGATCAAAATTTTTACATGGCTGATCTTATATTGCTCTTCTTTCTTCAGGAAGAACTTCTTACCTCATCCTATACTAGTGGTGAAAAGGGTCAAGACTCAATCAGGGTTCTGAGAGAACTAATTATTGTACAAAGAGAAATAGCTGATTTGTAAGTGTAACTTCAATGTCGCAAGGTTAGTTTTTTCTTGCCTTGAATTTCTGGAAGCACTTGGAGAAAAGCTCCATACAAATGGTCTTTTCTTGCCTTAATTCATTAGTTTTTCTTCGTATATCTGCGTATTCAATTGCTGCTAACTAGTTCAGAACATTGCTTACATGATGGATAGCCATTAGCCGTAAGCTAACTAACAATAGAATGAGGCAAGTTGCTTCCTAACTTTATACACTTTCTCCAGAGCTCTTCTGCTCCCTACCACCCCCGCCCAAAAAAAAAAAAAAAACAGAGTATTAAAAATTAGACTGGCAGATTACTTTAAAAATTACACTTTCTTCCTAACTTTATTTGTCCTAATTACTTTAAAATTGGCAGGATTGCATTATAGTCGCCTACAGCAACCTTATTATCTGGTTAGTGAATATGCAGTTTTATTGATTCTTGGTTGAGACTTGAAATCTAGTGTTTAGTTTCTACTCATTATATCTATTTTTTTCATTATTCATTATATTTCTATTCGGTGGTGCCTCTTCATTTAATTTTATCCTCGTCTGCATGTGACACAAACCTTTTGCTATTTTTTCAATATTCTTAATTATTACCCTTAATTCTTAATTTTCTTAAAACTTATAGAATGCCAACCTTATATTATATTCCCACTCTATTTGACTTCTTCTTTATTCATGATTATTTACGCTTGTAGCTTTTTTTAAAACAAATAAATAAATCTATTTTCATAGTTTTTTATCTACAGTTTATTTTATTTTCTTATCATTAGATGATTTACGTGTACCTATCTCAATATATCTATAATTATTAGAAAATATCCCCCAAAAAAGAGAGAGATATCCAACTAAAATGGCTTATGGTAGAATAGTGATAATAGAAATATACTTGAGTGCACTCTCTAATATCCAAAAAAGAAGGGAGAAAATGTAAGTATTTTTAATGTCTTGTGATTACACACACAATTTTCATAAATTGATTTTTACAAACTTTTATTCTTAATTTAAAACGGTGACAATAGATTAAGTTAGTATAAGAAACAAATTAATAGATAGAGACTAGACCTAAAAGACACGAGATGCAAAGACATGTCTGAGAGCTTCTTGTTAGTCTCAACAAAGCTTAATTACTTCCATGTTTAATTAAATTTGGAGGGAGCCCAGAAATTGATTTGAGCCTGTTGCACTCATCAAGTCTAAATATTTGAGATTTATTAAATCATTTATGGGTTAAGGTATCTCGGTGATCTGAATGCTTTTCACATGCAATAATGATACACTTGTCATATTTCTGCCAAAACCCCAAGAATTAAAGCATCCACAAAAGAATAAACTAACTCTTCTAGACCATTTGTTTCCAAGTAATTAACTTGGAAGAGTTACAAGATTTATACAATATTCAGAGCTGCAACAAGTAAAAGGACCAACTCTTCAAGATTCGGAGTTGCAGTGAAATCTGGAGTGAGTTTCAATTTGTCATTCGGAATCATCAATGATCCTCAGCTTATCTAAAGACTGATCAACATACAAGACACAAAACAAGAAGGCAATATTAGTGTTTCCAAAGTCTAGTAATTAATAAGAATATTAAGTAAGTGTATATATTACCTGACATAATTTATCTGCATTATTTCTACAAAATAAGAGGAAGTTATATATGAATAACATCACCTACTTCTTCTTCTTTGTGGGGTGAGATCAACATTTCCTGTACTAGTTGCATTGCCTCCTTAAAACGTTCGTGTTTTTGATGTTAAGGTTTGGAGTGATTCGATGAATAAGCCTTCTCCTAATCATGGTCTGATACTAGAGCTCGCACACTTTCTTGTTGACCAGAAACATCAGAAACATCAATGACATCCAATATTGACGCATCATGGTCAATATGATTTATTTGTTCATTGTTTGGATTAATGTAGCTATCAATCATTTGGGGAGGGTTAAACATAGAAGGCCCTGGATCTAGATCCAATAGACTAGCAATCATTTTCTCTATAGCTCGCCAATTGTTAGGTGAATCAGGATCTTTAGAATCATCAGAAGCCAATATGGTATTAGGATTAGGATAATAAGGGTTAAAAGAGACGCATCCATTATCCGACCATGTCCAGTGATTTTGTTATTTTTGGGATTGGGATGATGAAAATCTTGAAATTTCCAATTTATGGAGAAGCCTCCCCACGCTTCTTCATCTTCAACCTATATAGGAAGGCATCGTTGAAGTTTTTAAATTTAAATATAAAATTTAAAATTTGAAATTTTACTTAAGATTCAAATAAAATATTGTAATATTATAATTTGAATTATATTATTCAAATAAAGAATTTATAACTTATAAATTTTAAATGTAAGATTTTAAATATGAGATTTTAAATTTAAATTTTCAACCCAAACTCACTTATCCAAATGCAACCTTAAGGATTGAAGGAGTACGTAGGAGATAGAAATTAAATATCCCATACGAGGAGTTGAAAATCCACTGATTTGACTGAAACAGTGGAAGGTGAAATGCTTCTGCTTCTTCATGAAGACGCCATCAAACTGTAAAAGTCAAGATTGATGGCTGAAATTTTGTTGCAGCAGGAAGGAAAGCTAGGAATGGAATTGAGACTCTACCATGAGATAAAATTTAGTAACCTTTGGACCCCTTGGCAGTACAAATATATTTGGAAAGTGTATGCAAGAACTACTTAGACCTCCATCTCTAACCTTATTGATTGAACTAAGATAATCTGACAAAGTTGAAAACAAAAAGCCAAAACACACCACATAGTCTAACATATATGCAAGATGATCAAAAAGCAATAGCAGAGGATTGAGATTTACCAGCTTTTGGTTTCCCAGATAGGAAGCACATGAAAATGAAACCCAAGCCAAGAATCTCCCAAACATTCTGCCAAGTAGAAATAAAATACATTGATAATTTTTCTTTTGATCCTCTAATTTTATATGAAGGTTCAATTTATTGTAGCAAATCCAACTATGTAATTGTGGGTCAAAATTACATTGAAAGAATGTCTAGGCCTAACCACGAACGCTCAAATCAATTGCAAGAGTTGTTCGAGCTTAACCAAAAGTCTCAAGTTTGAGCTTTGGAATGCAATAGCGTTAGTGGCCAAGGGCGCCCACCCTTATGATGGTTGTCAAGCCTCAAGGAGTGAGGCAAGGCCTGGGATACCGGATGCTCATGAAAAAAAAAAAAGAAAAATAAGAATGTCTAGGCCTTATTGGCCTTTCCAAAAATAAAAATCTAATCTTGGATATGGGCTATTACTTATCTCTATTATTCTTCCCCTTAAGCATAATTTTAAAGTTTGATTTTTGAAAATGTGTATGGAAAAACATTTCTTGAAAGAAAACAACTCTTTAAATGCCCTTCAAAATTTTTTGAGGAATTAATCTCATGATTGTTGGCTATGCGAATACCTTAGGTAAAAATATAAAAAAAAACAAAAAAAACTTGGAGGGCTGGAGAAGGTATAACACTTAATGGCTTCTTTAGTTTAATTATTTCTCTATTCTTCCTCCCTACATGATTGGGATTTTATCGGTAAGTAATATATATATTTTTTTAATTTTTTCTCTGGTTTTGAGATTTGAAGTCTCTCTTGCCTCTAGTGAGTTTGGATATATGCCTAAATTTTTATGTGAAACAAAGATGCAAGAAACGTATTTGTATTTGTTTTTTTTTAATTAAAGACAAATTTTATCTAAAATTTCGATAATTAAAGGCAAACTTCATTCAAAGAAAAGTAAAATGATTACAAACTATAAGGCCATTAGTGAAAAACTAAAGGCCCAGCAGAAGAGACTCAACAAAAAACAAAACATACAAATAGGGGGGAAAAAAATTGAACATGATGAATCAGGAACAAAGCTCGAAAGAAACAAAAGAGAAGACCCACTAAGCAAGTCAAACATATTCAAAGGGCCCAAGCCATCTTCAAGTAGGGCTAGCGGATGAGATATTTTTTGGCTCGCACGAACAATATTAAGACACGTATTTGTATATATATCTACGTGTATTATATAGTAAATAAAATTACAATTAGATATTCTAAAATCACATAAACATTAAAGAAGCCGCATTTGTACACCCTCGGTTATTGAAAGAATGAAATTTCAGAGATAAAAACCGCTTCTATTTTTTCATGAGCTACACTATAAAAGGTCTTTGGCCCAAATTAATCTAATCAATAGCTTGTGATCTTTGCTGCACAAGTAAACTTAAACTCGAGACTTATAATTAAGCTGAATAAATCCCTCTTATCAGTTTATCCAAATGCTTGGTAGTATCACTTAATTTTTTTTAAAAAACTGAATCACATAGTTTTTCTGGCTAGATATTGAATCATATAGTTATTTTTTTGTTCTTATTACTTGTATTTTTTGGCTTATTATATTACTTATTCTTTTATCTATTTATTTCTCTCTACATCACAACACAAATACATAAAAAATCAGACTCCGCTTCTTTCATTTGAGAAGTCCCTCCTTGCTCCCTCCACTGCACATAAAGAAAATCTGGACCATTAATGTATTAATTTTTTTTTAATAAATATGCTCATTAACCTAGATAGTTCAAATTTAATAAGGATGACCCAAATTTAATATTAAAAATTTTTAAAATTATTGAAAATTTAAAATTTGAATAGTAAATGTGCATTGTTTGTAATAAATATGGATATTAATTTATAAAAAATTTTAAAATTAATTTGACCTATTTATATTAAATTTGAACTATCTAGACTAGTGAGAAGATCTATTAATTTTTTTTATAAATTTTTGAATAAATATAAAATAAAAATTAACACATTAAATTTGAATGGTTAATATTTTCTCCAACTGTTATGGAGGATGGACTTCTAACTTAGAGAGAGAATTCATTTTAAAAGATTGGGACATTGAATGATGACTATCCTTTTGTTTTTTTTTTTTGTTTTCTTTTTCTTTTTTTTTTGGTGGGGGGGGGGAGGATTAGGAAGCTATATGTGTGTTTAACATGTAACATAATATCGATAATGTATATGCAAAATTTGACTTGTCGTAGCAACTATCAAATCAATTTTTCCCATGTGAGGCTCATGGTTATACGTACGATTTTATTCGCTTTTTGTTTTTGTTTTAACTTCTAGCATGTTTTTGGGTAAATCAAATCATGTTCACATTATTTTTATAGCTGTAATTATCACCGGGTCACGTTGTGCGTAGCATAGCGAGTAAGACGGGGTCAATCTGACCAGTGACCATTCTAATGGTTCAAGGAGAAGAGCCACACGACATGTCACTTTAGAGTAAGTAGTTGTGTTTTCTCTAGCAATGTTCAATACCTCTTCGAAAACGACAGGTCGTACTGACGGATCAAAGTGAAGTGCAGTGCTTCGCCCTTGGGCCAAATATTTTGGCCTTTTTTTTCCCCAAGGATATTAAATTGACAATAAAATCTTAAAACAATAATGACAAATACGATTACTGAATTTTTTTTAAATAATTATAAATATTAATTCAAATATCTGTAAGTAAAATTTCAATTTCAAAATATAAATTATATTTAAAATTATGTCTTACTCACAATTAGAATACTTGAATTTACAATTATTTAAACCAATATTTATAGTTTATTTTTCAAAAAAATTTAATAGAAATCTAACGGTTACTAATTCCCTTTTTTAAAACTTGGCTTTCATTCTCCCCAAAATTATTGACCAATTTCAGTGCCAATAAGGAGAGAAGAAAAATATTTAATAAGAAATCAGGATATATGTTTTATTATTAATTAAATATAAAATCGATATATCTAAAAAAGCATCTAATCTAAATATTTCAAAATCCACATATACTAAACAAATAATTTATTTCTGTGTGTGTGTGTGTGTGTGTGTGTGTGTGTGACATTTGATCTACCGAGTTATAAAAGTCTTGTAAAGATATGGGATTAAATTAGTCGTAGAAGGTGAATGGCAGCTTTCACTCTGAGTTTCCCATTTTCAGTGAGGGATCTAACAACCAAAATCAATTTGTTAGTTGCGCAAAGGGTCATATTTCATAATCATAACTTTTCCAAATCTAATGACTTTTTTTTAGCCAAATTGTATAGGGTTGCTAAGTTTATTACCACTTAAGTTAAGATTTGAATTTACGTAGAGTGCCTAGATTCATAAAGTGACCATGAGCACAGTTAGGGTTGAAATATTTATGTTAAATTACTCCCTCGTTTAAAAATATAAGACATTTTTTAAAGAGTTGAATGTTAAAAAATATAAGATATTTTTAGTCTTTCGAGGTGTAACTATTGTCTTCTTTTTTTTTTCAAAAGTGTTCCTATTAATAATAATTTTATATTTATTGTAGGGTGTTTAATAGGGGTAAATATAGAAAGATAATGTTAGTTTGAAAGTAGGTAACTATTTTATTGGGGATGGAATTTGATTAAAAATGTCTTACATTTTTTAACGAAAGGAGTATATAATATATATATATATATATATAAACAAAACAATTGTTAAATCAATTTAGGTTGAGATGAGTGATTGAGACTAGATCTTATCCTTAAACCAATGATTGAGATTTGATGCCCACAAACATAATTAAAATATATATATTCCCTCTTGCTTTTATATAGGCCCCTTTTAAGAAGAATTTATTGTCATATATAAGTCACTTGATGAATCATTATTTAATTTTTTTTAATAAAATTACAATTAAAGACTTGCAAACATAACAATAATCATTTAAGATTACAAAATGTTAAAATTGAATATAAGGACCATGGTCCTTTTTTGCAGTTTAAAAAAAATATTTTGACTAAAATACCCCTATCTTATATGCACATTTAGCCTCTTACTTTTAGGGGTATTTTAGTCCTAATAATAATTTGTAAACTGTAAAATAGAACCCTGGTGCTTAAATTTAATTTCAAGATTTTATCATTTTATTGTTATTACTTATTTCCTCATATCCTATTTGTGATTTTCCCTAGCTGTTGTTGTTCCAAATATTACCCCTTTTATAAGTTTACTGCTATAAGGGGATTTAAATTGTTATATAATGCTTCTCTATGTTCTAAGTAAAGTTGGAAAAAAATTCACTCATTTTTTCCAAATC